ATATAACCTAAGAAGTCAACTTAAGTAATATAGAATACATACTTTTCTATCTTGGCATAGAATCCTACATCTTTTAATTTTTGTAAGACACAATGAACATGAAATTCATATTCTTTTATGTTCTTAAAATAGATCAAGATATCGTTTAGATAATAGATAATAAAATCATCCAAAAACTCTCAAAAAATATCATTCATAAGATGTTGAAAAGCTACTGGTACATTTGTAAGTCCAAAAGGCATGAAATTATATTCAAAATGTCCATACCTAGTTTGAAATGTAGTCTTCTATTCATCTCTTTCTTTCATGCATACCAAATTGTATGTTCCTCATAGATCTATTTTTGTATAGATCTTAGCTTGATTCAACTCATCAAAAAGTTCAGATATTAAAATTAATAGGTACCTATTTTTTATGGTGATCTTATTGAATCCTTGATAATCAGCACACATCCACAATGATCCATCTTTTTTCTTCACAGATAGAATTGGGACTCCTATTGGAGATTTGGAATGGCGTATGAAGTTTTTGGTTAGATTTTCTTCAATATATTCTTTGAATTTGCCTAACTCATTTTATAATAAATTGTAGATTGGTCCAAATGGTGATTGTACTCCTTCTTGAAGATCAATTGAATAGTCATAGGAATGATGTTTTGAAAGAATATTTACATTTTTTTTTTCAAATATATCTTGAAAATCTTGATATTGGCTTAAAATACCACTTGAAATCTTTGCACCATTAGAAATGGATGTGGCATAAATGGCATAAGGTGATCCTTCTTTTGTAGCGTGCAAGAAAGCTCTTGTGCCTATAAACATATGTTTAATTGTACTACACTTGTGATTTTTTACTTGATTAACTACAGTCTTACTTATATTTTTAAAAAAGTTAAGAGTAAGAAAAATCTAATCTACTCAAGGGTTGTATTTTTTTAACTATGATAAATCTAAAATAATTAGATTAGAAGAAAATCTAATGATATTAAATACCACAAAGCTATTATGACTATTAATTATTACTTCTATAGGAAGAATTTTGTGAATAATATCTCCAGAAGACAATGGGTGACCATCTATGACTTCTATGTGAACAAGTTTAGTTTTGCTTACTAAAGATATGATAAGTCTTTTAATTAATTCTTCATCTAAAAAACATACTGAGGCTCCTGAATCTAATAAGGCAAAGGCTTTGTAATGTATAAGTCCTAAAATAATGTGTAATGTAAAACAAGGAGAAGGTTTTGAGGAGAGAATAGGACCTTTATTAGGTATTGTATAAGGTTCCAGCTGCACAATCTCTATTGTAGCTCGACAAACTCGTTTTCCAATATATTATCTTTTTTGACATTTGTACTCTTTATTTTATAATTGTGTCGCTTCTTTGGATAATATTGAGGAGTGTGCTTAGTTTCTCCATAATATAAGTATAATCTTTCTTGACAATGATGAGTCTTTTCTTCCTTAGTAAGAGGTTTGAAATGTATCCCATCAATTTGCATATCTTCTACTTCTGAATGTATGTGTTGAAGAGGCATTGGTGTTGCAATTGAATTATAATAACATTGAAGCCCACTTATTTGACTCTCAGATGGAGATTCGAAAAGTCAATTATCACACTTCACAATAAAGTCAATTGCTTGGCTCAATGTTTGAGGATCACGTAAGTTGAGCATCAATTTCTTTAGCTCATATTATAATCAATAGAAAAATTTTCTAATCAATGCAACATCATCTCACTTGATATCAATTGCAAGTTATTAAAATTGTGAAACATATAATATTACAGATCAATTACCTTGTTATAAAATATGAATCTTGTTAGTTGCAAAATGAGTTGCATCATGTTTTCTATACATGGATCAAAACTTTACTCAAAAAGTGTCTAAATTATCCAATATTGGATCTTGTCATTCAAAAAAAGATGAAAACCATGATAATATTGAATCTAAAAGAAGTGTACCAATAATCTAATGTGTGATCCTAGAGTTGCATAGCTTTGGGATTGAAGTTCAATGATAAGTTGTACTTGATTGATAAATCCTCAAAACTTGGATCTTGTGCCATCAAACTTTTTAGGCAAGACAACTTTTAGTTTTCTAGTATCAAAAGAATGTTCCACTATAAGAGAAGGGACATGATTGGGTGCAGATATTGAATCAGCTCAATCATATCTAAGTCTTCACTTTTTGCCATTCTTGTTGCTCCTTGTGGTAATAAACTAAGTTAATGCATCATAAGCATTAACTCCTTTAATTGCTCTTGCATTTGTGCTATTGCTCTCTTCATTTTAAGAAGCTCTATCATAATAATATTTAGAAAATAAATGTCTAATATTGCTCAAGACAAATAAAAGAAGCGACTTGAGAACAAAGAAGATGAAAAATATAATATTAGTTTAGAAGAGGGTAATCCATAACTTCTAATATGCTTATGTCTTATCAAGAAAAAAAGGTAATCTACTCTAAATTAAGAGAAGATAAAGCTCTAATATTATAAGTATACTCTTATCAATCTACCAAGGATATGAACTGAAGAAGATGCATAAACTTAGAAAATTTGTATCAAAAGAAAAGTGGCAAAATAAAAATAAAGTAGTATGTAAATGAAAAGAAAATTGAAATAGCTATTGCCAAATGACAAGGAAACTAGAGACCCTTAAATCTAGATTAAAAATAAGAAAAGAGTTGACAAGAGTGAAGAGGGCTTTATTCTTGCCTCTATATATACTATCTAACTAGGAGCTATATGGTGATGTTCTATAAGACCTCTAATACGTGTTGACTTTATAAGATACATGCCTTAGCTTATAAGGCAAGTTTTCTACGTGTGGGCCAAATAGTTAGTTTATTCTTCAAGCTAATAACATATGTGGTACATGGCCAACTTGTTGACCATGTTTCTAATCTAAAAATTTAATTAAAGTCAATTATAAAGTCAAAGCAATATCTATATATAGAAGCTTTTATAGAAGATATTATGGAATTGACCTACTTTTACATATTATTATCTAAATCATATAAGTAATTATTGGTTTACTTGTGTATGTCTATGACATAGCGTAATAATAGATGTTGTATTATATAATGGTTTGTATATATTAGTCAAGCATATATATATATATATATATATATATATATATATATATAAACATACTTACTAGTAGAAAATTATGTTATTGGCCACAAAAAAACATTATAAACTTTGTATTGTAAATTAACCTTTTGTTTGAAGCTTCATATGACATGAAACTCTATGTTGTTACCATTTCACATTGTAGTGCTTCCAAATCCCACACCTAGTGATCTCACAATGCTACTCTAAGCAATCTGCATCAACATCATGCAAATTTTGATCTTTGATTGATCAACAATTAGATTATTGCTTCACTTTTGTTTTACTTTTGATGAAAACAATAAGATATGTAGTCAATCAAAGATGGTTTTTGTCTCCTCTTGTTTAACCCATTGATTTACCTCATAGGCTATTTTATATAAAAAAAATTATATATATATATATATATATATATATATATATATATTCTAAATTATTAAATTAATCCAAAGATTTACAAAATTGGTCTATCCCATCCTAACCATTATCAATAAATTTTTCATTACCAAATCCGTATTAGTCAATAACCAATGAAAAAATAGTAGGATCTTCAACCAATAATGATGGATGGATTAATTTAATAAATAGGTGGGTTATTTTAATATTTAATTATATATATATATAATTAAATATTTATAATAGTAATAGTAATAATTATATTATTATTATTATTATTATTATATACAAAAATTACAAAAATAATTCTTATAATAGTATGTAATACCATAAAAATAAAATATATGATTTTAAAGAAAATACTAATAAATTTATATATAAGTATAATTTTATTTGATATTAAATTTTTTATTTTATATTTTTAAGTTTATTTTTTATAATAACTCTATAAGTAAGATATAAAATAATTATAAATAAATAAACAATATTTTTAATATTCAAAAGTAATAAAATCATTGTCTTAAAATATTATGATTTATAATATTTCTAAAACTTCTATAATACTTATAAAAGCCTGTAAGGTTAATAGAATTGATTTCATGTATAACCACATTTCAAATCTTGTTTTCTATGTGGATTGTATCTTAAGTCCTAATAGGCACTTTCTTTGACAAACTTTGACAAATGATAATATAATTACAAATCATAGATTGTAATTCTTCTTGTCTTTCTTTAGTTGAGTCTTCAAAAAAAGTTAGACTTGTGTTAAGTATTTAGGCATCTCCTAGGAAACTCTTGTGTATTTATTGTATTAAAATTAGATATTTATTCTATAATATTGTTATTTTTTATTTTTATTTTAATAAACTAGAAATATCTAATTTTACAACAACAGCAAGGACAAGAAAAATCTGTTCTTTAATAAACCAAAAATGGATTAGATTAGCAACCAAGAAAAGACTAACAACATTCCATTACATTTTTGTTTTTATAGAAGAACTAAACTTAAAATAAGAATCAAAATTGTAGCCAAGAATGGAGGTAGTAATTTCAAGACAGATTTTACTTAATTTAATTTTTAAAATGTCAATTCGTATTCTTTACATTATTTTGTACTTACTATTAATGTATTGTAATAATACATCAGATCTATCAAATACATAAACAAAATAATTTTCAAATTTTGCAAAATTGGATAATTTCACATTCTTCTTTTGAAATGTCTTGGCACAAAAACGTCCGCTGCAGTCGTACATAAAAGTTAAAGAATCCATAGCAGCACTGAATGCGAATATTTTCATGTTTATAAATCCGTCAAATAAGAAACAAAATTAGTAACCACTGCAGAGACTCATGCTTGGACGAGTTTGATTCAATGAACCCACAAAATATTTCTTGGTTAAACACAGGTCTTTTCTGGCTCAAATTCAATTAAGTACTGTGTATACACAAATGTAAATTCCATGCAATACAAATAAAAAAGCGTCGATATCACTGGAAGGCAATACCATACTGAATGTGAATTCAATCCCAGCTTCATCATTGGTATGATAAATGGTGGCTACATGCATGGAGCTTCTGCACGTGCACAAGCCACGAAATAGCATTTTTGGCACTATTGAGGAGCTAAGTACTATTTGCAGAATGTTTGTGCGTTACCGAATTTTTCCAAAGCTCTTCTAAGAAATACATTATAACTAAGGCTCCTTGGACTTTGTTTGAGAAGATTGGTAGATTCGAAAAGCAGCAGCCCACATTGTAAAATTCCCTATCACAGTCAGTGCAGCTTGTAGTACCACCAAAATCTGCAAAACAGCAAACATTGTTTTCAGAATACATATACACACACACACACACACAGGTTGTGATGTACACAATTGACAAAAATATGTAAACAACTATCGGTTAACCATCCAGGTTGAGCAATTAAAAGACGTAAGGATTTTTCTTGGTAGAAATCATTATACTTCCAAAGCCGGGGCGTTATAGAAAAAATGCCAGGTGCATGCGCACATAGCTCCGCCTAATAAAGGAACCTGCCAGGAAAAAAACAGATGTGCTCAGAACTGAGTGCAAAATCAGCCTAAAAATCAACATTACTTATAAAAACTTAGCAATAAGTAAACCAGCTATGCAAAAGTTGACAGGTTGCTAATCCCCATTTCGATGGTTCTCTCTATGTCAAGTTCACTAGATGACACGGTTCGCTAGAAAATCTATGAAGCGAAAACATCATAAGCAATTGCGTAACATCCCAAGGCGCAAGGAGCCTCTACTTGATATCTCGTATACATCCTCCAATTTGGTCAGGACCACATGAGCATGTGCTATCAAGAAAACCTCCTCTATTCGAAATTGAGGAGACTTGTGAAAATTGAGATAAACGTTGTACCATTCCCCACGAAAGACCTTTCCATGAAGAGTTGCCAGGGGTGTCCCCGTATTGCCAGACAAGTGCCATTGCTGTGATCCTGCAGACAACACCATAAGCAAGCAGGAAATGCATAAGTACGTTGACTTGCTTAGAGCCTGCACATGTAATAAGTCCTGCGTTCACAACACACTGCTAGGACAACCCTTCGAAAGTCCTATAATGAGCTAGAAATTCAGTATACTCGAGATATTTCCCTCACAATGCAGAAAGGACGTTGTAGAATCAGCAAAAATCTGAAGAGCAAATCTGCACTAGCAATATAGCGGATAATCATAATCACCGCTTCAGAACCAAACTTGTTATGAATGTTGACAGTGGAAGTCTTTCACACAATGCATCAAAATCAATATGATGGTCAAGATAACTCAGCAGGTTACCTCATACAACCCGCACAATGAAGGATAATCTAATTTATTGTTCCTAGACCCGCATGAAAGATTACCTACATGTCCACACAGGGAATGTGAAGTCTCACCATTCGACAACGCTGGCCACATGGATGAACCAGGTGGGCAGAGATAGAGCATTTGTAAGCTCCGTCTCACGAAACGAGCTCTGAACCTCACCAGAATCAAATACACTCCCTAACATCCTGCAAGGCACTGGCAAGCTGCTGCCTATCCCCAACTCCCCACTCTACAACATCAGATCGGTATTAAGAACTCGTTAGGATTTCGACAGATTTCATAAATTTAATTTATCAGTTGATAATCGAATCTCTTAAACATCGACCATCCAAAGAACTGCTGAGAATGATTCATAATCGCTGGAATAAAATGCCTATCAGTATCGTGAGTTTACGCAGATTTTACTTACAATTCCATAAAACACTTGGATTTCACACAACCTAAAACACATCATTTGAAGGTACTTTGAAGACGAGATAACCCTTTCATAATCTCCACATCCTATCCCGTACAAACTAAGCTCCAGCCCAATTAATTCCCATAAAACTGAAGGTTAGCGAAATCAAGATATTGATTCATAGCCCAGCGTGATAAGACCCTACTACTTTCTCGAACAATGCCTGAATTCGATTCCTAACATGTCCAAGAAAGGTAAGAAATACGCACCACTCTGCAACGCTAGCCACATGTATCACCCACGTCGGCAAAGACAAGGCGTTCTTCGGCTCTGAAGCTACCAGCAATGACCAAGCATCCGAATTCGATACAATCTCCGCCGCATGAGCATGCTCTGGGAACACCATCATTGCTCCCGCAACTGCACCTACCCCCAAAACACAGCGGGCTGGCCTATCCAGACCTAACGGGCGCCCTAATGGCATCAAGGATGTTGAAATCATGTCTAAAGTGCAAGAAGTAGGAGTTGATTCCAGGAGTGGAGTGTCATTAGAGAGGGCAAGGGGGACATTGCTGCGAAGGCTGAATTGAGGAGAAGCGATACGACTACCTGCATTCTTTGCGGCTGAATGTTCACGTCCAAGGATACAAGCATTCTTAGAGAGAAGAGAGGGCATAGTCGCCATTGCTGCAACTGCCCTTAGCTTAGCCCAACTCGTGAGCAATTTTGACTAGCTCATAACTCAAACACCGATATCCTGACTCAGTTGCTCCACATCAATACTCTGCATCAGCTCATTTGAATCACAGAAGGGAGACAGAGAAAGTCGTCGCATTAATTGTGAATGCCTATCACCATTAAACAACTTACGTAATCGAGAGCACTTCACTCCAAGCTGGTATAGAAACCAGTCTGAGTGGCTTCGAATTGACGAGTGCTCCTGTTGGCTGTCTTGCTGAGGGCAAGGCAGGACCAAGTTCTCTGACCAACAACTCAAAGAACCAGACCTTCATTCCGGCAGGAGCCAATACTTCCAACGATGATATCGTCATCCCGACCCTTATCTTAGAAAAGCGAGACCACTCCTCAGGAATCTTTACCTGGGTAATTCTGTTCCGGAGGTGTAAATCTCTGCAGCATGCAAGGACGGATTCTAGCGAACATTCACGAACTTTTACTCTGAGGAAATAGAAGGATAAGGTGTGTGCGTTCACACCGCGGGTGGTGGCCCATGAATAATACACTGGAACCCCTGGACTTAAAAATGTTATCACAAATCTACAACCGTAAAATCTTGTGCACTAGATTTATGCCACATCTATATCCCGCAGAATTGCAGGGGATGCGTTGTGCACCCGATAAAGATCATTTTACTTCAGCACTTCACTGTGTGTTGGATTTCGTTCTGCTGGTTGGGTCAATTGGGCTTCGTGGAAGTTGATTGCTCCCGGTAGAGTACTCTGTCCCGGTTGCGGAGTCACTGAGCCTGCGTGAGAGTCTTAGATTGTGGTTGTAGCGGGGCAGGTTGGGGGAGGGGGATTGACGATTATTATTTTTATTTTTTTCCCAGTTTGAGTTGAGGTTAAATGCAAGACGCATGGACCACACGGCCATATTCTAGGAGGTTGTAAGTTCACGTGTTCACGGTTCAAGGAGAGGAGCTACCACTTGAGGAATCGGAACAGCGACAGAAGCATGATAGCTGCAATGGACATCGCCAGCAGTTGCTGCTCTATGTCTCGTACCTCGGCCATAGCGCCGTCTTCTAGCCTCACGCAACAGCTTGCTCGTCATTCTTTTCGGACAAATCTGCGACTGCAGCAAGTGGGCACATGGCACGCACCTCAGCGAGGCCTTATACAAATCACCAACATTGGATGGGTAAGTTTCCCGAATAATTTCTCCTTTACAACACATTAAAGAGAGGACAGTTTTTTCTGCAACAACTCACAGTAGTGCTGACGTTCCACCATAGCTCTACCAAATGCCTCGAAGCACATGCGGATGCTAGGAATGCTTAGTGGCACCCATAGATTTCTACAATGTTGATGGACTGTCTTCGTGACTGAATCCTGGTCGTCAAGGCCAGGTCATTACCGCCCCACCAACTACTTCGCGGATAAGGTTATGTTAAGAATTAGAAGACGCATCTAGTGATTATCTGCGCTGTATAATTCATGTCCTCGTTGAACTTTTTAGAAATTGCAATTGAATTATGAAACAAGAACCAGTTGAGGCGCGTGTGTGCTTTACCAAAATCTGTTGTATCACAATCTTTCAACACTCCTCGTAATGGTATGAGTTCCAGAGCAGTAGTTGTGATTTAGAAAAATAGAAAATTAGAGGTAGTAGGTTTGAAAATGGATATCAAAGGCAAGCGGTCTTGGTTGTACAGGACCCTGAAGGAATACTAGGAGCTCCTGTTCCTCACCATATTGCTCGAAGGGAATTCGCCAAGAAAGTAGCCGAAGATGCGGAATACAAAGAAAAGGTTGAGAGGCAGTTGCAAGCGGAGAAGGAGGCTCGCAGGCTAGCTCGAGAGGTAACTTATTTTTACTTTCGCGTCATAAAATTGCTCGCCTCGTGCGTTTATCAGCCCTGACGTGCTGGGAATGATTTCATGCATTGAGTCATGTTGGTGTGGTGGGATTTTACGAAGCAAACCTAAAAAATTCTGTTAAGTAGAACAAATATCTGTTGAAACGGAGCCTTCTGATGGCAGGCAAGGGTAGTACCAGAATCACACAAGGATTTGTTAGAATATTTTCTCACAACTGAAGGACCGGAAATGGAGTACGAGGTTGCACGCTGTCGCACTCGGTATGTCAAATTTTCGCTGTTTGTAAATTCTATTGCTTGCATTGGATCATGCACTTTGATGTTCTCACAGTAGCAGACTGCTACAAGAGAACGTTTTAGTTGGTTTAATGAGAGAAAGAAGAATATTTAATATTCATGTTGGGTGGTTCATGACGCGAAGTGATGAACGTACTTGTAGAGGGAAGGGATATTTGCTTTACCTCTTATGAGCACATAAACGTATGTTGCAGCAGACTGACATTTTTAATCAGATGTTTACTGTGGGCTATTAGTGTTTGAGGTCCTATGATCTCAAACTACGGAGTTGGTGTATCTGTGTAGGTTGACACCAGAATTCTTCTCATTTTTGAAGTCGGAGATTGGGAGTTTAAGATTTGCTGTAAACAAGACAGTGGTATGGATAACACTCTTGCTCGATGACGTAGGCGGAATTTTCTTATCTGTTGATCCATTTCTCGAACAGAAACCTTTAATTTGCTCATGGAACTGTTCAATCTCCTTCTGTATTATACTACTATGCCTGGGCCTTTTGATAAGCGTTCATTAGATGGCTAGGGTTTGATATTTGTGAGCTCTAATTTGTGCACTCATAAAATCTGTCAACACGAACTTGAGGAAATTATCGTGGTTGGGTACAACTCTGGATTTGTAATTCCTAAGATGCTCCTATCCTTTTTACAATGGTACAGGAGGTGGAGGACAGAATTGGTGAGCTGGAGGTTCTGCAGAGTGTTTTGCAAGAAGGCGTCGGTACGTCGCTCCACCACATTTCCTTATTTTGTTACAAAGTACCACGAGGACACACAATGTGCTGGACAGAAATAAACTTGAAGTCAGTTATATGATGTTTTGATTCTGTTCTTGCTGTTGCTCGAATTGTGTTTGCAGAAGCGTATGACAAACTGGCAACTGATCTTACTGGAGCTAGGGAACGGTTGTCTCGCATACTCACCGCGAAGGACAAGCGCGCAACGGTATGTTCTACGACATAGACGGACTCCTTGCCTTAACTCACTTCCTCATTTAGTCTTTGGTCTAAAGCTTAAAATACGTGAATTTCTGATCTGATTTCTTCGGTATTCCTTGAACTTGCAGTTGCTGGAGATGGCAGGAGAGAATCAGTTAGACCGATCTCTTCTAGCCCTTTTGGATGAGAATATTGCCACAGCCTCAAAAGCAAATGAGGTATGGTTTCATTTTCTCAGACCAACTGATTTATTTTATACTTTTCTTTTCTTATTCTGCTCTTGAACGACAGTAGAATTAGACTCAAGATTTCAAAGTTTGAATTGCCAATTAAGTCTTGGTGTTGACATAGCATGTGTTTTTAGACTGAAAATGTGAAAACTATTGCAGGTTCAAGCCGCACAATTCATGGAAAAGATTCGTGGCGCTGTTGTGAAGTACATCACTATTTAGTTCTAGGATGATCCAGAAGCTGAGAATTGTATCCGCCCCAAACCAAAGAATTTTTTATTGAATGCAGGGGCGCAAGAGAGTGATCGATGTGTCGTGATAACTTTCAGTAATTTAGTGGGTGTGAAAGCAGAAGTTATAGCTAAGAGACGGGGTTGCTTGCATTTCTACTATTTGAGAAATTAGTTTTGCTAGAAACTTTTCAGGACCTCAGGTTGATTTTGAGGGGCTCCTACGTGATTATCATACTTTCCGGCTGTCCTGGGTTCAGTTGAACAGAATCCTCTTGAGGGAATATTTGTGAACCTTATGATGTCAAATTGCTACTTGCACAATGTGAGGTTTTCGCACGACTATGCTGCTGCAGTGGTGAAAATACCTCTTCACTAGTGAACATCGGATTTGGAGATGATTGAAGAATCCTTCATTCTGCTTAGTGCAAGGTTCTTGTTCTGGGCAGTAATATAATCTGAATTGTCAGAATTACGACTTGAGGATGTACAGCCTTTGTTATTTGCAGAGGAAGAAACTATTGCAACGCTCAAGTATTTCTGAATTACGATAATTGTCCACGATACCTTGAAGTGAGAGTTAAACAAGAAGGAAAGTGAAGATGAAATTGGCACAGGTTGTTAATTGGTAAAGAGTTGACAGACGATTGATCGTTAGAACGAGAAGTGGATTTAGATGTATATTGCCATAGTAAGCTGCATATGTTTCGCACTTTTGCCACACTGAAAAATAATAACCGTAACTGCACTCAGATCAAAACTACTCAATTTGTCAAGGTATTGTAGTTACCTCCAATGAGTGACTGCGACAACGATTATCTTCCATCACACATATATGCGATTTTGCAACTTTAATGTAATTGCCAATAATGCTGTACATAAGTGGTACTAGTGAAATCCTACTTGATTTGCATTTATTTGACTTCCTATCTGAAGATGGGTGCTCAATCCACCGCGACCTATATGGAGCTTACTTCAAATTGTACAACACTGTGTCCTCGTTGCAACAAAGGACGAAAATGACTTTTTAATATTTTCTCTCAAGTAAGACCACATGGCCATATGTGAGGGTCAGCAATGGAAAGATACGTCTTCGCAGATATCCATTGTTGTCTACTCTGCTCTTGCCTTCAAGTGTGCACCAAGAAATACAATCCTTTAAGGCACGCAGCTTCTTCAAAGCCAAATGCAGGATGTGACACAATATGATCGGTAATGTATGATACAAAAGAGCTGCTCCGGCCATCATTACTTCAGCCAGTAGTCTCGCAAGTTTCCTTCTCCCCGTGAAGTCCACCTTCTCATATTCCAAGTGGTATGTATGGTTCATCTGAGAAACAATGAAAAAACCGACAGCAATCCACTTGCTCTGGTCAGGCGCTGATAACTCAACACATTTCGAGCTGGGTTGCACGTTGGGTAGATTGATATCTTCGGCTTCCCATCTTTAGTCCTCAACAATGTGCTGGAAAACCTTACGGTGATAACCCGAGCAGATTGAAGGAGGATGGGAGTAACTTCGGGTAGCAGATGACGAAATTTTGTAGACAGCGTCGTCTACGTCTTAAACTCACCATACAGCATTGAAGCCCGTTTTCATGGTTTCAGTTACATCAGGAACACTCCACCCAGCTTTCTTCAATGAAGTAGAAAGCAGCTCCACTTCCCTAGCTAAAGTGACCAAAACTGCCTGCATGCGTTCGGAGCCACGTAAGTTAGATATCCCATAAGTTTAACAAGCCATAGGCTTCAGAACAGACGGTGTTTGCCGCTAATTAAACGTAGGGGAATCAGAGGTAAGCACAGGCTGCTAGTTCACAGAGACTAATCTAGTGGCCTTTCTCTCAGTGATCCGTTGAAGCATCGCCAGTAAACTTCCCACTAATAGAGGGCATCGAAGTCGAGTCATTTGTGCTCATCCTACGCAAGAACCTTACAAGTGAACAGCAGAAGGGACAACCATCAAGAGGAACCAATGACACATACCTGTCTAACCATGCAAAGCTAGGCTGGGAACCGGTTAGATACCACACACGAACTTAGAGCCCACCTAGCTATGCAAGAAGTCAACAGAAAGCTTCATTACAAGGCAGTATCTAGAGAGACAATCACAGGGAAATTAGTCTGCACACCTCTGCGTCCAATTGTTGATTCCAAAACTCGGGAGAAGCTTTGGGATCCATCATATCAGAAATATCGTTCTCTTCCCACCCGCCCTGCCGGAGCACCAGAGACATCTCTTCAAAATAGCCAGTCAACCACTTCGAAGACTTCACTGCTGTTCGTTCCATTCTGTCAACATTCACGATCGACGGACACGAGGGAGTAGTCACTTCTAAATTCGGGGTTGGAGGAAGAGTTCGGCATTCCTTGAGCGAGTCGTTTCTCTGTTTTTGATACTTATCCACGAGCTCACTCCAAAATTCTATCCTACGAGGGGATCGAGCAGCCCAAGGTGGGATTGCCATGGAAAGGTTTATCAAGGCCTTGGGAGGCAAAGACTTTTCTATGATCTGTCCGTAGCGAAGCAAATCCTCCTGGCATACGGAGGATCGTGGAGACTCAGTTTCTTGCGCCAAGTCGTCCACAGTGCTAGAGGCCTTTAGACAATTCGCCCTCTGTGATCTGGACCGCCCAAACCTAGAAAAGAGACTTCCCTTCTTCCGCGGGCTACCGAGATTCTCTGCATTCTTTGCAAGGACGTCCAAATTGCGACCCCATGTCTCTCTCTGGCCCTCCGCGCTCCCAGACCCTGACAAGTCCGACAGATCTGTTACACACGAAGAACTAGAGGTGCGATGTGTGGAATCAATATCGGCAGTGTATTGCTCCGCTCGCCGCAGCTCTCCGCTCCCACTGATACTGCTTCGACCACTTGTCATGCTACCCTGCCACTCATCCAATTCGAACGGAGGCTCACCGTCATGGGCACGGAAAGCCTCCCGCTCGAAAAAGTCTGCTACATCGTATCCGCAATACACAACATTATTCTGGTACACTAAGAAAACAGGGTTGCCTGCGTCGTTTGGCGCAGACGAAATGTAACAGTGACCATGCATGGGCACAAGAAGTGGTGCTTTGCGTAGAGCAGACCGTGCTATTCGGACTGCATGATCAATTTCCAGAGGCCGCGGACCCCATGGTTTCCACCAGAATCTAGAATGTGCAACTTCGTGCAACAGCCGAAGTATGGGAAGATTAATGCGCATGCGAAGCTGCTGCACATTTCCTGTCCGCCAGTTCGGGAACCCTGATCCTGTAGGTAAACCTTCTTGAAGTATACCTTTTAGATCGGGAGGGAAAGTGAAGCCATAGGTGGCTTCGATTTTTTCGAACTCTTCGTCGGAGAGGCCTTCAGCGATAGGAACTTCACATTTCTTTAAGTGATCAATCACACTACGGGCATAAGCAGAAAAGGAAAAAAAAACACGCCGCGTTCCAGGAGTGGAAGGACCTGCACTAGCACGGGCAGAGAGGCGCTTAAGACCTGCGAGCTGGGCTTGGTGATGTGTGAGGGTTTCCTTCAAAGCCTCCACTGGTCTGTGCTCCAAATCCAACATTGCTGCGAGACTAGCTCTTGTGATCACCAAACTATAGGCAGATGTTCTGTCCACCCAGAAGACGAGGGCTTGTACTAGAGGTCTCCGAAACTTTTCCGAAAATTTCACAGCAGGAGGATACTGTAGAAATCTCCAACCCAATCCAGGCAATTAAGGCTTCCTTCACCACGGTCCGCTTCCACTATCGCTATACATTCCCTTTAGTTTCGTTTCACAAACAATCTAAGGAACATATATTGCCAAGTTTCAGAAACCTCTACTCCGCCGTTGTACGAATGATCCACCCTGCATTCAAGCAAACTCGACACCTTTGTTTGTTGGGCAGGTTTCACTGGAACTGATTCGCTCTCATTCAAGTTGCCTAATTCCACAAATCAAGTAACATTGATCTCAAATGCTGCACCGTTTTTATCATTGTAATGCACGTCGAGGAAACGACGAGACTTGGGGAGGCCGACGATCACGAGAGTCGGACTCCCATGTAGGCAACAAGTAAGGTGGTAATAATACAGTGTCCAAGGAAGTGCATTACACGACAAGCCGATGCATACAAACCACTGCATATATCTAGGACACACAATGATCAGGTCGCATGTGCTCCGACAAAGCGCCCAGAGGAGGAAATAATAACAATAAAATAAAATAAAATAATGGTCCTCATCTTACTGTTGTAGAACAGTATCAAGTCCAAACCTCCGACAGCAGTTGCTCTCCAAGAATCGTAGAAAGCCGTAATCCCGACAAGGCAAATGCCATATCAGATCAGCGGACATGGTTCCCCCATCACCCACTGAGACTCCAGGGCAAAGATATCAATAATGGAACACAAAACCAATACGGGTCATTGTCGACACCACACAATTCACTCAGTCATATCAGCGGTCGCGAGAAGCGCATCACTGGAAAACTACACGTGACATCCAAAAACTATCCGCACTGCAATGTCAAAGCGACCAGCTAAACCACAGATGTGAGATTTACAACGACGACAGCAATGGCATCTAAGGGAGTAACGCGGCATTCACACATCCCAGAAGGCCTTGAAACCTAGCTACTCCCGCTCCAGTTCTCGAATCACCACAACAACGTCCACATCTCTATGGTGCACCCGCACACTCGAAACCAGTATACCAAGACACACACGCAAACTCTCTCTCTCTCTCTCTCATCCTCCGCAGGCCAGAATCACCAAACGTGCCGCATTGCAAACCGCGTCCTAAGAACTCGCTCAAAAAATCGACACACACACAGCTTCATCACCCAACTCAGCGAAATGGTTTTATAAGCACAAACAGTTACACCGATAAGGAGATAGGAAAATGGCAGAGGTCTGCATGAAACCATTGCCGTGCCAGCCACAAGGGAAAAACTAGTCATTCAACGGACAGATAATTGCGCCCTTCATGACGACGGCCTGTAGCTATGGCGGTAAGTCCGATATCTCTTCAATGATTCTCGACAACGCTCGGTCGCTCCCAACGATCGTAGAAAGTGAGACGAAGTGGGGAACTTGATGAGAACATCTTAGGGAACGACAGATTCACCCCGTTCCCAGTGCCACTGACGCCGGCTCCACACAAGCCGAGGATGTGCTCCAAATGCTCCCGAGCCCGTCATTAAAACCAAATGTCGCGCGTCGGGATCGTTCCCACCCTCCCAGCCACAAGCCACGCTCCCCTCCCGATCGCATGCAATCTCAGTCGTCCGCCCTCATCTCCTTCCCCCTCAGAAGCATATTCCGGAATCTGACTCGTCCTCAGGGGAGATCCGTACCCTGTATCATACCCTGACCCGCTCAAATATTGCGTTTATGCCTCGTGTGTGAATTGAGGCCCGGTGAGACCAGGCCGCAAATCACGCCCGGGAATAAGAATTATTGACACCCGTCCATGAGGTGCGGGATGCTCTGCCGCACACTTCCAGAGCCTTATTCGATGCATCAATTAGGGCTTTTAGGGCTATGGATCCAATCAAGCCCCAAGTCTTTTTGATGTTGCCTCCTTTGGGTTGTGTTTCTGTTTGTTTTTTGTGTGGGGCGATGATACCAAGACGTAGTCACAATTGATGAGCTCGATGGGCTTAATTATGATCTCGTCACTAACCAACCACTTTCATTCTGGATTCGTGGTGCCTTCTCAACTTTGGTGTTGTGTGTTTTTTGTGCTTACTTTAAATGGCCCGTTTTGTAGGTTTTTCTGGGGGGAAAAGGCTACGATGTGGTTGTTCAATTGGATTTTTCTCCATCTTCTTGAAGGTTCCAGCAGCGTTGAGTGGGACCCCATAACTCGCAGTTCAACTCTGTTTTTTTCTCTTCCCAAACTCTACGCGTTAGGTTTTTTATTTTTTATTTTTATTATAAATATATTATTTTGGTTATTGATTCACGTCGAACTTTGAGATGTGTTTTAAAGTTTCATGATTCAGTTTCTGATATCTAGCAAGAGAGGTTAGTCACAGCGTAGATTAGAACAATGTAGCTTATTAGAAAAATCTGGCAGAAGAGCAGTACTCCGGCAGAATAAGTACACGGTTTTCCACTCAGTGGGGACCTGCTCCCGAAATTCAAATGCAGCTCCTCATCTTCTCGGGATTGTTCATGTGTTCTCACAAATCACGAACTGGTCTTGTCCATCCAATAATAACACCATTAGACGAGGTTGCAGAGAAAAGAAACCTCGTTCACATTTACTTCCTTTTTACAGCCGAGAATTTGGATCCCGTGCTCTTTTCCTTATAGACTCCAGTACCCACCAATCATAATGAACCAAAGCAATTACTTATCCACAATTCTTTTCTTTTTCCTAGTGAGATGTTCACTCGGTTTTCCAGCACCATGATGCTCTGACTCCATTTATCCACCTTGTGTGTAAAGTACGATTTCATTTACAATTCACAGATAATCCATAAATTTGGGTAGGAGTTACGCCATCAACTGCAGAATTAATGCTGACTGTTTAAAAACTAATAGAGCGTAATAACTGTTGAGAGATTTAAAAAGAACCGTGTGTGTGTGTGGGTTTTTATATATATCTATATATATATTCCTCATGAAGGCTCTCTGGAACTGTACTTTTTTAGTTGGATTGGAGTCATCTGCTTAGTTGTAACCTTGCTTGATCACGTAAATATAAGATAAGCAAGTGTAAGTAAATTCGTGTGTCGTGAAATAATAGCTTTGGCAGGTGAGGGCGTTGCAGCAGCCATAGTTCAAAGTGATCAAAGCATACTAACACCTACAAGAGTCTTCAGTGTTATTATTAATTTTTATATCTATACATTTGAATCGTTATTTTTTTCTTTTGAAACAGTTGTGATAAACCTTGTACCAGAATCCATTAGGTATGGTTCCAAGTTCCTAATTGGGATATGAGCTACCAATTTTTTTAGTGATATTCTGCATTGAAAAGAATACAACTTGCCACCCCCCTTGTTGTTTACTGTTGTTTTGAAACACAACTGTGTCTATTTGAAATGGCAACATTTACCACTTAATTGATGAACCTTGGAATTCAATGTGTGGACTGAGCATGAGCTACTCTGTTCACATGGGTTGGGTATTGATTAAAATTATATAACAACCATTGAACACAGTAACATTTAAATGGTGTGGAGAATTTGGTTCAAAATAAAAAAAAAGTCAGGTATTTGACTTAGGATTCACATATATATATATATATATATATATATATACACATTCATGGCATCAAGGGGTACTAATAAATGACTGTAGAGGGCAAATCAAGGCTGAAATTTCATTCCAATGTCAGAAATAGATTTCTTGTACTTTGGAACTGGTGCTTTGTAATCTTTTTAACTGACTTTGAGTATCTAGACTATGAAATTGGGTAAAATCCTTACTTATTAGATTAGGTTGTGGATGCATTGTGTGGATTAACACTGTGATGAAAATGTGATGACAACCACACAACATAGAATCCGCTTTCAAAGATTGAAAAAATCTTGGATGGGCAACGTAGTAACTGGTTCTAGACTTGGAGTGAAAATTTTGGGGCATATTAGAACATCAGACAGCAATATAATTGTACACACCAGTTAGGGAATCGAAAGTGTGGACTCGGGGATTACGTCTGTACCGTAGCTTTCCTCAATAAGCACTAACTTTGGAGTATTAGTACTTGGGACGTTTGTACACAGTATCGTTCCTAAATTAAGCAACATGTTTCTCCCGTTTGTGTCAAAAAATTTAAGATAAAACATGTGGACTAAAATGGTAGGTTTACTGATCAGAAAACAAAATGAAACCGTGCATAATGTACGCAGAATTTAAGGGTCATTAAATAATGGCGAAAACCCATCCGCCAATTGGAATTTACCCACCGTGGCGCATTTTTTCGGACCAACGGTTTTGAAAGCAAGAATCATTCCACTGCCGTTTGTTGCAGAGAAACATTCAAAGAGTCTGAAGCCACACTCCCGCCGTTCAAATCCACCACCTAACTTACAAAAATCAGCTAATTTGCACCCGCATCGAGAGACGAAACCTCTGATGCTTCTGCAAGTGGAATCCTAATGCGGGAAACTGGGCGTAGTGCCCACATCCTGCAGCGGCATTGATGAGTCATGATAGTTAGCGAACTGGAGAAAGATTCAGATGGAGAATGGTGCAGAGCGAGGAATTGATGTAGGTGCTTTTGTCTCCAGGTGACCAGTGCCTGCCCCGCTCAGTCGTCTCTTTTTGTCAACTGGCACCACCACAACCCTAATTTTGAAGGCAGCGGCCGACTCTCTCTCTCTTTCGCCGTGTTTATTATTGCAACTTTTCACATGAATTCCTGGAAATTGTTCAAAGACAACCCTTCGAAATAAGCTGGTGGAATTCCTGTCCCATGTTCAGAAACTGGAGAGCAAGAGGATGAATTTGGAGCTCCTGGTGGGACATTTTGGAATTTATTGCTGTCAGTGTCTCCGAAATGGGGCTGATGTAAATGTGGAGACGCAGATTATTTCTAATCTGTGTTGTGGGTGTGTGCTGTAGAAAACAAGTTCATTTTCGTGTTGGGATCCTTCACAGCGTTGAGTTAGCGTGCAATTGATTCGACATCCCATCCGAGGACTACCCACTTTCCTCTTCTACGTCTTCGTCTTCTTCGCATCTGGCTCTGTTTTCGTGGTGCCGTGGAATGCGTGTTGTTAAAGAGGAATGGTCTTTTTAAGATGAAAGTTTCCATTGGATGGTGCAAGATAGACACACAATCTGCATTTCTATTAGAGCCATTTCAGACGAGAATAGAGAGTAAAAAGAAAGCGGTTCAAAAGAAGTAAGGAATGAAACATGCAAAACCAAATAGATGAGGGGGGATGTTTATTTCTCTATCAAGTTAAAATTCCATCAAAACGATGTGAATGACTGTTTTTCTTTGTTTCTTTGTCGTGAAGAGGAAACTCGTCCCATTGTTTTGATGAAAATCAATTAATATTTCATATTGAAGATGCAGAAAACAGCCGCTTTTATCTCGTGTAAATTCTAAAGTGTGCTTTAATTGATAGAAATAGTTGTGTACAAAATTTTCCAATGAGAAAAACCTTGTTATGCCATTAATTTCTATCTTCTTTGTTTATCATAATTCTAAACTTATTGCACCAAAGCTGGTATTATGCAAATGGCTTAACGTTAGCTGGGGTTTAAGATATGCATCACAGCCTAAATCAAGCACTCAAAGACTGCATTTCTTACCGGAAATAAGTTATCTAAATGTTTGAAACAATTCTAAATCGCCATTCCATCAAACAGTTAAATTGATACTTGAAGACAAACAACCATAAAGATCCCCACCAAAACGACTTACTATATGCAAGTTACCTCTTCCAGTATAGGATTCCTTTACATCACTCCACACACACGCACACACACACACACACACATATATATATATATATATATATATATAGATAGTTTGCGAAGTTTCATAGAAGCCAAAACATTGTTATCTTTGTAACTATCATGCAAAAATAATTCGTGCCACATATGCAGCTATGGTCTATCCAGTGGCGTGGTTGTTGGGGTTTGCAGTGTGAATGTAACTTTATTTAGAGCATCAGGGAGTCTACCCCCCTTCCTCCAACTGGATATTGCAGGAACTGCCAGGTAGGATCATTTACAGTCCTACGTGTCGCTGTTCTACGTGTCACAATGTCTGGGTTCAGCTCTCTTCCTCGGACACCTTCGAAACCCTTCCATAAAAGCTTTGTTTAGCTTTGGCTCTACATGAAATCAAAGTTGATATTACACTAACTGTACTGTAAAAGAAGAGAAAAAGAAAAGAAAAGAACGGATTTTCACTTAATTTAGTTTAAAAGAAGTGTTTTTAGGGTTCAGAGATACTCAAACAGAAAATTAGAAAAAGAAATCTCAAGTTTTATTTTCAAATATTCGTAGTGAAAAATGGAATTAAAAATACATACATACATACATACATACATACATACATACATATATTGAGATTGGTAAGTTGCAAATCTGCTAGTTTTATATCAGATTTGTGATTCATTATGATATGAATCAATGTTCATATCGTTGTATTATGTAACTACACAGTAATTGATGATAAATTACTATAAAGCGTTGCGCATGTATTCAAAGAATTACAAGATTGATTTATTAATGGTTGTTGAAAGCCAAAAAATAATTCAATACTTTTTCCTGAGGCCAGGAAAACGCACCCTGTTTCAGCATAGTGTCTTCAACCAAACTCAGTCAAAAGACACACACAAACAATCAAAATCCATGCTTAGAAAGAATGTTCATATATAATTCCAACACGTATATTGATTATTGTGCGAACGTATAAAAGATGTATGAAAACAGTAATAACAAAGTAACAACATGAACAACAACAACAAATGGTGAAAAAGCAAGCTTTACACTGTGTGTCTGTGTGTCTGTCAATGCGTGTCTGCCTGACTCTCTCGGTGAGTGTTTGTCTCTCTCTGCGCGCTCTGTGTGTCTGTGTTTGTATGAGTGTGTTTGTCTGTCTAATCAGGTATTTTCATGTGGTTTGGACTCATCCCAATACGGAGCCACATGGCGACGACTTGCAGCGCGGGACCACGGCTAGCGAGAGAGCACAAAAACAAGCGCCTGGAGGGGATGGTGTTGGCGTAGGAGTTTCAGAGCACACCAGGATGTTGCCAGGTGCACTGGGGACCCGTGATGTCGCCCATAACCCAACGACCTGAAAGCTGCGAAGTCACACCGCGGAACGGGTCTTGCAGGGGCAGCTTTTGGAGGAGGTGGAGGTGGAAGTGGCAGCCGCAGCAGCCCACCAGCCAGTCCCGCACCACCCCCACCCGCCGTGCTCAGCTGCTTACCTGGCGCTGCATGTTCCTTGAGGTGGCGGTAACCTTGTGGGAGGGCATAGTGTGGGTGTGTGTGTGTCACCCTCAGCTGGCGCCGTCTTCGCTACTCCCAGAAATGGAAACAACGCGCTCCTCGGTGGAACCGCTCTTGCAGCGACCCATTGTCCGCCTGCCGTCTCCGTGTGGATAGTGTGTGCCGTTTGTGGGATTCTCTCCACCTGGATCTGCTCCACGGAGTCGCGGTTAATCCTTGGTCAACGTCGTCTGCATCGTTTTCCTTTTTTACTTCTGAGATTCCATTCACGTCTCAGTCGTCACATTCCCAGTCCGTTTCGCTTTCATATCGTTTAATGTCTGCAAATTTGACCGTGAGTCCAGACTGAAGTTTACATCTAGACTGGATAGTCAAGTCAAGCCAAGTGTCATTCACACACACACATATACATATAGGTTGATATTTCTTCCAACGAAATGTACCCACAGAGCGTGGGATATGTCTTTCTTTTTACTCAAGGATTCGTTTACGATGGAGGCAATTATGTTCTGCCCAGAAGTGTGCAAAATTAACGTTGTTTTCATGGTATACACACACACACACACACATATATATATATATACACTTTTTCTTTTAATATAGTAATGATCATTTACATGTAAAGTGATCATCTAATGTTGATTTGGTGTCTGCAGTGGTCTAATAAGGGAATCCATTTCGACCTTTTTACTTTTTACTACACTTGCAAATTATAATCACTGAGAGGTTTACTTGAGGTTTCAAGCAATTGTTTTACTTACCCATCAATTTAATGTTAAACAACACATGAATTCAGATGCTGCCACTTTAAACTATACTGAATTTGTGCATTTTATGAAATTAATTTATTGCACAAGTTGAGAAATAAAAATGAAAATGAAGATAATGTTTATTTAAAATATTGTGCAAGCTATTAATTTTTCCTGACATGAAATGATAATGCACAAATTAATATATCCTCTACAATTGAATGGTTAACAATTTTGTTTTGTAAAAAGTCTTTAAAAGGTGACAATACCCACATTTTGTTGTGGTTTCTTATGTATAATCCAGAATTTTGAACAGACATGTTTGGTCATTTGGTTTTACTGATTTGTCCTAGTGTGTTGTTTTTATTATTGATTGTTTTGATATGCTAAAGTTTCCTAAAACAATATTATTTTCTGTTTTAGATCCAAACCCAGCTATTTATATAAAATCTCAATAATGTAACCTAAATAATGTAAATAAATAATCTCAATGATAACCTAAATCTGTAAACAATTAACTCTCAATCATTTAATATTTTTTACACATGCATACACACATACATACAAAAGGAACCAATTTCTGGTTGATAGTTTAAATAAATGCACAACTTCCTTAAGATTTTTTTCCCACAATCACCAATTTTATTTATTTACTTATTCTTCATTGATCAAGTAATTAAATGAAGTATCATGTCTTCTTTTGCCCAATGTCAAGTTTTCACATTATTAAATGTCAATAACCCCAAAGACAATGCAGGAAGGAGATTTTTTAATTAATTAATTAATTAGTTAATTAATTATAGTACATAAGAAGCAGGACCAATTATTAATTAATTAATTAATATATCCACTTTCTCATAAATCTTATTCTTTACATTACAGACCAGCGTAGATGCATTTGAACACACCACACCTTTTCAACAATTGAAAACTAAAATTCCTTGACTTGTTCTAAACCACGTGTGTATTTAGATAATTGTGCCCTCTTCTTTTTTTTTACGACAAAACCCTTAGAAGATTAAAAAAAAAGGAAATGGTGGTCTCTAATCAAACAACGTGGTGCTTGAGCCCTTTGTTTTTGCCGAAGTATGGTTTTTATTCTATCCACATGAAAGAATATCATATAAGAATGTTCTGTTACCCTTTTGTTGTAAAGTTCTTGTGCCCTATTGACTTTTCTACCGACACGCCTCCCGGTTCCGCACTGATCGAGCTCGTCATCGACTTTTAGTTCGGCACTCCAAATCTGTCGGTAATCCGCCGTGCGAAACGAGTTTCCGTGGAGCTGATCTGTGGGTCTGTGCTAGCGCAGAGCGCGGTGGGAGTCGACGTAGTTCGTGGACCCTGGTTGTCGGCGCACCGCCAGTACGTGCTTCTCACGTCGCAAGTGCAGAACGGAGCTAGTAACTTACATGATGACACCTTCATCGCGTGTCAGGAGGAGCACGTTGGAAGGAATAGAAGGATGAGGAGGATTAATGCAAGAACCATGGTCATGCTTTCAAAGTCTCGGCGAAACCAGACCAAGTGTCAATGCGCCTGGATTCTTCGAAAAGGGACGTGTGGAAAGTGAGATTGTTGCGCTGGGTTCGAGAAAAACTTGTGAAGCAGAGGGGTTCATTTATCGCAGTGGCCATCCAGTGGAAACGAAAGGCCAGCTTGGGCAAACCCTATTTTACCATCTTCGTCGGAAGAAAAAGAAATTTGCTGTGTTTGTGACTTTCTAGGAGAGGTTCGAGAAAAATGTGACGGTGTCGGTGGGTTCTAATCAATCTTCATACGAGGGGTTGGTGGCTTAACACATGGACATCATGTGTGAAGATGGAAGCATTTTAATGTCATGATTAGAAATTTGTTGAAAAAACATCCTTGTTAGCATAAAGTTTATTTACTTATTTTAAGTATTTTTTTTGAGAATTGTTGATCCTACATTCCCGATTGATATTGCAATGCACAACATGACCTCTCTTCCTTCTAGACAACTAGCTAATAATATGTCTATTTATTTTGTACATCTCTCTCTTTCTTTTGCTTTAGAAAATAAATTAGCTAATATTCTCTACTTGGCTACCAATCGCAACTCAACTATTATTTTGGACTCCTTCCGTATGTGAGTTGCCTATCCTAAAACTACTAGGATAACTACAAACATTATGCCCAACTTGACCACATCTCTTATATTTTCTTTACTTAATCTCACAAATCTCTATAACTTCAAACAATAAAGAATCTTGTTGCATAAATGATGTTTGTATACAATTTAAAGCTCTAAGAGTACATCTTCTTGGCTATTTAGGAATTGGATTCTTTGGAGTACTAAAGCGTTGCAATGCCAATTAGAT